CATGTGTACAAAAGTAGGCTGGAGACAATGGAGAAAAGGAAGAGGATCAAGGGGGAGGGGGAAGATAGATAAGAAGGTGATCCCTATGATCAAAGTGCCTTTACTGAAATATCACAGCACTCAGGAGACAGAGGCAGGCGGATCTCAGTGAGTTTGAGGCCAGCCTGGTCTACATAGTAAGTTCCAGGCCAGCTGCGGCTACACGGACAGTCTGTCTCAAAAGAAAAATTAAAGATGGGGATGGAGAAGTGGTTAAGAGCACTGGCTGCTCTTGAGCCATCAAGTTTGGAAACAAATGCAGGGATTAATGTAAGACAGGAAACTTTGGGGCTGTAAGAATTTTCTAGAAGCCTTTTATTGACTGCCTGTAGTGAGCCAGACGTCATTTCTTCTGTGTTAGAATCCCCTCTTCTGTCTCTTATGAAAATACTCATCATTGGCTTCAGGGCCCACCTGGATATGATCTTATCACCTGATCCTTTATGTTGGTGTGTGTGTGTGTGTGTGTGTGTGTGTGTTTTGAGGCAGGGTCTTATTATGTAGCCTGGGAACTTGCCATGTGGCAACTCGGGGAGAACCAAAGCCCGCAGGTGAGGCCCGCAGGTGAAGCCATATTGGAACTGAACCCTCTGCTCCCAATGATCCTCTTACCACAGGTTGGCCTCTAACTTTTGCTGTTCCTGCCTCAGCCTCCTGAGTGCTGTAGTTATAGGTGTGGCTCACCATGCTTGGCCCTCTCCCTTTGTGTTTTTAAAGTAGTTATTCAGTGCTTGCTTCTTCCCTCCCTCCCTCTCTTTTGTTTGAATTGAGGCAACACTTGGGGCTGTTAGGACTCAAGGAAAAAGAGCCAAGGTCAGTCACAGGGACAGTTGACCTTCAGGGCTACCCATTGCTGTCAATGATCATCAGTCCATCTGTTGCTGTGACGGAATGTTCTACATCTCTTCCCTTAACTCCTGATTCCATTGCCAAAGCTCACTGTCCTAGTTTAATGTGCCTGTCTCGGGAAGGGGGTGAAGGCTGACTGGGAGGCAGGTGGCTAAAACCTTTATGACAGTCAGTTTTCTATCGCTGTAAGCAAAATGCCCAAGAAGATCCACTTAAAGGAAGAAGAAAGGTTTTTGGCTATTTTTTGGCTCATGGTTCCAGAGGTTGCAGGTCTTCCATCACTTGGTTCTGTTGTCTCTGGGCTGTGGGGAGGCAGGGAGAAGAGCCTGTGGGGGAGCAGAGCTGCTCACCTTATGGTGGCCAGGACAGAGGGAAGGGGAGGGATGGGGGAGGCAAAGAGAGAAAGAGGAGGATGGGAGGGAGGGAAGGAAAGAGAGGAAGAGAAGGAAGAAAGGACAGAGGAGGGGGGCAGAAGGGAAGAGGAAGGAATTAAGAGCAAGATATCTCATTTAAGCACCTACATCCTCCAACTAGGCCCCACCTCCTACCCAGCACCTCCATCAGGTTCCGAACCATCAATGGGTTACTTCATGCACAAGGTCAGAACTCTGATCCAGTCACCTCCCAAAAGCCCCCTCTGATCAATGCTTCCAGTGCCTGGTCCAAACTGACAAGAGTACTGGGGGACATTTAATGCTCAAACCATAGTACCCCTCCTTTACCAGGGCTAGTGGGGTGGCAGGTGCCTGGGGGCTTTGGTTGAGGAGTGGGGCTTGTGCTCACATGGGATCTCGTTGAAGAGATGGGCTCACAGGTCCCTTCCTGGGATGGAGTGCTGGATGCCTGGGCTTCAGGGTATGACTGTCCTCTTCTGGAGTGAACTCAAGTTCTGTGTGGCTGGTGTTTGCTTCAGTGAACGACATGGAGATAAGAAAGTGTGTTTGCTTACTCTCAGTGGACATCATGGAGATAAAGGAAATCTGCCCAGGGAGGAGCTGTAAGGACTTCGAGCGTGCCAAGGCCGTCCATCACCAAGAGGACTGCTGCTTCACCATCCTCTATGGCACCCAGTTCGTCCTCAACACGCTCAGTCTGGCAAGTGGGTGCACATTTGTCTGCTTTCTCTCTCCCTGGGCCTCCTCTCCTGCTGAGAAATTTCTCTAGTGGCCGTTGTGCACCCGCCCGCCCACTATGCATGTTTGGGGTGTCCTGGTCTTGAGTCCCAGCCCTCCCACCTTCTAGCTGTGTGTCTTTGGGCAAGGTACCCCACCTCTCTGAGCTGCAGTTTGCTTGGCTGTGAACTGAGGAGAGCGGCAATACCCCTCCTTGGGGTATCTGGTTGAGAGTAGAACAATGTCAGCGTGGCCCCTGCAGGCGGGGCTCTGCTGGATGGCGTCACCTGCTTCCTCCAGCAGGGACTGCACAGCAAACATTGGCCTGATAGGACTGTCCTGAGTCCCTGGGTGCACATGTAGCACAGAGCACACACATGCAGGCACAGAGCGCACACATACAGACACAGAGCACATACATAGCACAGAACATACAGAAAGCACAGCGCACACACATGCAGGCACACAGTACACACACGTACAGAGCACACACATGTAGTCACAGTATACACATGCAGACATAGAGCACACACATAGGAACAGAGCACACACATGCAGCGCAGAGCACATACATACCCCATACCACACACAAAGCACAGAGCACACACATGCAGGTATAGAATACACATACAGCACAGAGCACACACATGTATCACAGAGCACACACACAGCACGTAGCACATACATGCAGCATAGAGCACATAGAAACAGCAAATAGCACACACACAGCACAGAACACAGACAGAGAATACACATAGCACAAAGAACACATATGCAGGCATAATACACATACATGCACATAGAATATACACA